GTGTCTAAAGCTTTCAACTCTTTGTTCAAAGAAGCAACAATTGCTTTTTCTTCATTTAGATCGTTAGCTACACTTTCTGCTTTCTTGTAGACGTCAACTAGTTCCTTTTGAAGCTCATCACGTGTTTGTACAACAGCAGCGAGTTCATTAGACACATTTAGAATCTCTTCAGTTTTTTCCTTCAGGAGCTCCTTCACAGATGTTAGCTCACCAGCTAAAACCTCGGCATCTCTCCTTGCTTCTTCAGCTTTCTTCTGTAAGGTCTCCTTAGTTTCAGCAAAGTCTGCCCTAACCTTAGAAACTTCAACTTCAAGCTCCAAGCACAATTCTCTTGCTAGCTGAAGTTGACTTGCCAATCCAGAAGCTTCGTTCCTTGATTTTTCTAAATTTACAAGTGTGGTTTGGAGCTCTTGCTCCAAACTCTCCAACTTATTCAGTTCTACGTCCAACGTATTCCTCAAATCATCTCTTTCTTTTGATAAACCAGCAATTTGAAGTTTGCTTCTGCTTACTTCACTTGAGGTAGACTCAAGCTGCTCCTCCAATTGCTGAAGTTTAAGGTCTTGCATTTCCAAGAGTTTGGCATCTTCAGCTGCCTTCTTCATTGATGAAGACTTCAAGTCATTGTACTCCCCTTTTATTGCATCAAACTTTCTCTTAGATTCCTCTTTCTCAGCAATCAACATACCTACTTGCACATTCAGATCATCCACTGCAGCAGTTTTCAGTTCCAGCTCATTTTCATTTTTCAGTAGCTTATCCTTCAGTTCTTCATTCTCTGAGTTCAAGCCTGCAAACTGATCCTGCAATTGTTGATAGATAGAGTTGAGTTTTTCCAGCTCCAATTCTTTCTTAGCAAGTGCGGAGCTAAGACTTTGAATAGTATCATCTTTATCCTTGATCTCTCCACTAAGAAAGTTTGTCTTTTCTTGCAGGACTCCAAGAGATTCCAGCTTCTCCGTTAACTTTTCTTGTATTTCTTTTTTATCTTCCCGAGCCTTCACAAGGTCAGTTTGAAGACCATCAATTGTTGCTTTGAGCTCTCCAATCACTTTTCTTTCTTTTTGCAGCTCCTGTCCTAGGCCTACTACAGTATCATTTGCTGATTTCAACTTGCTAACCAAAGATCGCTGCTCTTCATGGAATTTTGTAACTTGCTGATTTCGACTTTCCTTCTCATTCATCAAATCTGACCGAAATTTCTTCTCCATCGAAACAATGGCAGCTTCTTTCTCCTTCAGTTTTGTTCTCATCTGCAAATAGAAGCATTTGAGTTCAATGACGAGGGCCCAAGAAACTCTTTTTTAGAAACCAACTAAATAAAATCTCCAAAACTTTGTATTTCAAGTCACAGTAATCAGGTAAAAACCAAGATAACAGGTAAATATAGCCACTGTTTAAGCATCCTAAGCTAGATCGAAAATAAGGGCTTTAGTAATCATTTTGAGGTTGCCAGCTGAGGTGCCTGTTAAGTGGTAAACTAGAAAAACATGCTTTGACCACATGGACACTCATTTTAGAATTAAAGATGTTTAACAGGAAGAGAGGAAAAGAATGTGAAGTTCTAGTACATCAAGTAAAAATCAGTATCTAGACAATTACAAAGCGTATATATTCCAGGGCATCTAGTGAAGCTGCTCCATGCAGAGAAAGTGAACACTTTTTAGCTATTATAGATAACCCTAAATGTCAAAGTTCATATGCCTCGTGCAGGAAGGTTGTAAGCCCTGACATTCAGAGTTTAGTATGTTTAAGCTTATTTTCAATACTTACAGATTCAATGGCAGCCTCAGAAGTTGCCTTCTCCTTTAGGGACAGCATATATAGAGCACCAAGCACACCAGATCCCAAAATTCCAAGTCCACTGAGAAGTGAAACAAAGGGGTTGTGTGATGCATCTCCTTGATGTTTTTGCTGACAAAAGATAATATTCACCTCAAAACATCCAATTGCTTTAAAAATGTCGAAGCATAAAAATTAAAGAGATTTACTGATTTAAAAACCTTCTTCAGCCAGATGTCTGAATTATCATACCTCAGCTCTGCGGTCCTGTTCCACAGATTTTAGGTCAGAACCATCTGAAAAAGGAAAACAAAAAATAGGAAATATGGTGATTTTAGGAAAGGATTAAAGATCTCTAGACAGCAATTGAGGCTGTAAAGTCACAGTTTGAATGAGGGCTAACAGTGGGCCTACATTTAAAAATATGTCATTTATAAAAGCCTATGATGTGTCCTGCTGAGAACAAATGCAAATTTGCTTTCTTTCAAGAGTAGGCCAAGACCATTCAAGCTATTATTACTTGCTGAAAAGAACAAGTTGACGGAAGTGTCATATACTGTTATATGGTAACATTTAAGTAATTCTCTGGACAAAATTTAAACTCCATAACTCCATAACTTTAGTGGTCTGTTAATAGTGAAGCAAAAAGTTCATTTACTAGAAGTGGCCCTATTGTGATATTCAGTGCCTAAAGACAAGGAAAATCATCCACAAAAGCTAATGTAATATCGAAAGATAACTGAGGTAACCATATTTTAGAACTTATGTGGCAGAAGACACATAGGGTTTGAATTTCACATTTTGCTCTTTATCAGTTGAGTTTTCTAGTTCTGGTTCACTTTTATAATAAAACTTCAGCCTATTCTCAGCATTTGCCCTATTTTTTCAGCATTCAGAATTAGCCCATTGTGATCAATAGCTTGCTAAGATCAAGCTGAATCAGTAACCTATATATGCTGGAGTGGAGTCTTTTGCCTAAAGAATATGACATTGTTCCATCATTTGCATGGTCAAAATCAGAATTACACAGAATGCTCATACAAGCCAATGGAATACATTATTTACATTTTATAGCATGTGCTGTACAAGCTGAACTAAGTTTTAGGCTTGACCGTCTAAGGGATGAGGCACCATGGGTAAAACTAGCAACTCTAACCCTGCTCCAAGAAGGTTACTTTGTCAATTTTCTTTTAAACACTTTACCATTCTGCTGATTTCTGACGAGGTCTCTCAAAGTTTTTTACATTCCTTCCAAAGCTCCAAAAGTTATAGTAAAAGCCCAACATGGTTCAAAATGCTGATTTCGCAATTAAAGGGGGAAAAAAACTCTGTAAGGTGAAGTTTGAGCATTTTGAAAAGCAGAAATACCACCTGCAAGACAAGACAATCATTTAAGAAGCTCCTTCTATTTAGGAAGAAGTTAGTGATGGCTTCTTAACCTCAGAGCTTTTTCTTTTGTTATAACAAAAGAAAACACAGAAAGCAAGAATCCCAAGAAGAGAAAAAAGAAGAAAACTACCCCATATTCTCTATCATAACCAAGCTAGCAAGTCATTCTCAGCCCCTTGACCATCAAATCATGCCAACCAAATATCCCCTTGACCATTTTATCACCCCCTTGAGACTCGTTTTAGGAACTGTAGCGCACCTCCAAAGAAATTATAAGCCTCTGGAGCTGCTCTACATTTAGCGAGTAATGTTGGTTTCTTCCACTTCTTCTTGAGAAAAGTACATTCTTGGTTTCATAACATAGACTCCGGATAAAAATAAGGTTGGAGCTCAATTTCAATGAAGATGTGATTTCAGCAATGTATTACTAGTCTGATATTTTTGTCCAAATTTATCCTTCCAAAATTCTTCAATCATCTCAGCAAACAAGGTAACTATAAGTTTTTTTTTTTTTTGGGTTTTTTTTGGGTTTTGGCTCTTCAATAAACATATATCAGAGTTGATATAAATTCCAATAGTACCTCAACAAAGGACTCAATAAGGTAGGAACTACAGAATCACAATCAAGAAAAGGCAGATATTGTTAACTAAGTCAAATGAATAACAGTCTTCAGATAGACTTCGACGCTCAGTAGTAAATGCGAGAAACCAAATTCATCACGCAAATTAACTTCTCATAAAACATTTTTAGAACAAGGAAGACTTCATCACTTCAAAATTCAAGATTATTAAAACACAACAAACTAGTGCTAATAACAAAAACAAGGTAAATGATGCTGAGGAAAAGTTTTAACTCTTAAAAGCACTTACCTTGGGGCCAGCTTTCAAAAGCCTTGGCAGTCAATTTGAGAACGGGAATAACTGAAAAACCCACAAAAAGAACGAACCTTCTTGCACCTGAGCTCCTTTCATTTCCAGTTTCTTGGCTCATGCAAGCAGAAATTCTTGTTCTCTTCCTTCTGTTTTGCCCCATTTTCAAAGGTGAAAACAAGCAACTTGAGTGAGAGAAGGAAGAAGAAGAAGATGATGATGATGATGAAGAGGGGATAACAAGATAGAACGGTGGATCGGAGAATGCAAAAGGCAACAACTTCCCATCAGGAAACCCATTGGTGAGAATCCGTCCTCTTTTTCTTGCTTTTAAGATGAGTGCTAAGCACCCGCAAGTCAGAATCTTGTTTCTGGCGACCTTTTATCCTCATTATTCCTGGTTCATTCGTAAAGATGGAAGGTCGGGTCGGGCTCTACAGCTTCCGAGTCGGGTTCCAACAGCAAAATGACAGTTGGTTGCAAGTACAGTTTTATTGTCACGTGCATTAAAAAATGAGCCACATCCATGCCAATCAAGAAATGAAGTCGATGGACAATAAATCAAAGACTGCTAGATTTTCGTATCATTTCTTGTGACTCGACTTTAATTGCAATTTACAGACAGATAGGTGCTTAGATTTTGAATCTAAATGTTTTTTTGCTCTATTGATGGATTAGTTCATTAAAAATGGAGTAAAACATCTTAGATTTACCATTAAAATTAACACTAGAGGAGCTCTTAGGTTGGAACCATTGAATTTTCTCCATTACGTTGGAAGATTAATTTCAGTGTGAGAAAATAAAACTTAACGTAATAAATACAAACAGTTATAATTATATTAAAAACAAAAAAAAAAATTTCTATCAAAAACTTTTATGTGTTAATCTCTTTTTTTTTTTTTTTGTATTTATTAGGAAAGAAAATCACGACCTTTTCTAGATATATTCGTCATACTTACTTAGAAAACTAATATGATGGATTCAAGGAGAAATAGATGGCATTACATCAATTAATAATATTCAGAGACACGAAGTCCATTACAATACGGACAATATCCAACGACCCTAAATAGCAGGCTCTATTGACAATTTTACATTGGTTCCTGCAAGCCATGGAAATCATCACGCAATAGCTAGCCCATCTTATTTATTCATGTTCAAGGATGTAAATCATCCGATGAAAAAGATGCCTTTCCCCTTGCCCTTGTTCTTGTCCTTGCCTGAAGCGACTTCACTTTCTTTTACTGCTTTGGCCCTGTTAGCCTGCTTAATCTTATTAGCCCTTTGAAGCATCAGGGCCAGCTCCTGAATTGCTTCTAATTCCAAGTCTTTTATGGCGCTCGAGTAGCGGCATTCTTCGCTGCAAAACCATGCATCGCCCCTACAAATTATGTTAAACAGGCATTAAATACTCAAATCCCTTTTTTGGTGTTGTGTTTTTTTTGGGGGGGAGTGGTTGTTGGGGGTTCTATATATTTGGTCTTTGATATACACCTGTACAAGTAGACATTACTCTTGGGCACAAGTACTTTGCAGCATTCCATGCAATACCTTAAGAAGTTCACCTGAAGTTTTGCATTTTTGGTCCAGGACGCATTTGGATTAGCTTTCAGTGGTGGAGGTGGTGGAGGAGGAGGAGGAGGAGGAGGAACACAACTAAAGTCCTCCATAGCCTTTCGGTCTTTGCTCGGCGGCTTGAAAACAATCAACGTAGTATGAATTGGTGGAAATTTAAGGATGCAGTCATTAAACCAGTGAGTTACTTTATGGACTGGAATTTTAACTTCCAGTCGACTATAGCATTCTGAATCCTGGATGTCTTTTAGCCTTAGCACACCTGCAGATTTATGAACAGTGCAAAATGTTAGTGGGCGAAAACATGCATTGCCCTCAGGGTTTATGATAGCATGGCCTTTTATTTCAGAACCAGGCGCAGATTCTGGTCTGGAAAACAGATCATAATCGGAAAAGACACTTTGTGGCGGTGCTGATGACTGTTCCCAGCTTCTGAGTGCAAACACACAAGGGGATTCATGACGAAATTTTAAGCCTTGTCTGGTACCAAACTGGATTGGGCCCTGACCTTTTTTGGATGTAGGGTTTTTCAAGGGTTTATCATCAGGATTTGATGCTTCAGGGATTTCATCACCACTTTTCTCAGAAGTTGTTTTCGTTTCGATGGGTAAGGAAACACCTGACGGTCTCTTATAATGTTGAAGCCGGTAGCTGAGAATAATATGCTTGTTCTGGAATGGTCGGACCTCCTTGTCAGCTAGTAAACTCAGGAAGCCTGGTTTTCCCATCTTCTTATTTCCTAGTGCAGCTTTCTGCTTCTGAAATGGAATTTTTGGTGGATGATCAGAAGACTTCAGAGCAGATGGAGGTGTACCAGAGGAAAATCTGTTGCCTGAATCACTGGCCAAGGAGGCCAGAGACTCCAGTGAGCTTCCAGAACCAATTGAGCAAATTTCTGACAGATCAGAAGATGAGCTCCTCCGAATCATCTGGTTCTGCAGCATAGCAGCTGCTTTAGTAGAAATATGCTGCTTTTGGTTCTTCCGGAAGTTTTGAACTCTTGAATAATTCATGTCTGCACGGAAACCTTTGGTTCTTGAAAGATGGCTGCCTGCATGAGATTAATCGGAAAGAATTGGGAGAATTGATAAACAACCGTGAGTAAAGAGACAAAATGGCAAAATAGGAAAAAGGATCTCCATTCCTTAATCTAAAAATTAACAGGATACATCAAATCAAAGTTTAAGGGAAGAACAGAAGAAGTTTATGAGCAATACCGATTTCCAAAGCTGAAATTAAACAAGTAGATGGAGGAAAGAACACATCTTTCTATGAGGGGAAAAGGGAGAAAATGAAGATCAATCTAAAAAAATACCCAAAGACAACATGCATGCGTGTGAATGAATCCAGAAAATTCAGGTGAATCAAAAGGGCATGAAACATTTGGGGTTTTCTCCAGATAAATGAATGTATAAATAGAGCTCCTGGATAGTCCCCTTAAAGCTTCGTGGATGTGATTCATTCCACAAGAGCTTATGCAGTTATAGATTTAGAATGCAGGAAATGATAAGAAATTGGTAAATATATATACAACTTGCACACTGCCAAATTTCACTCTCTCTCCTTCTTACCTCTCTTCAAACTAACAAGCCCTTACCTTGCTGCTGGCTGGTATACTTAAATTTGCATGCCCCAAATTAATTGCAGTGCCAATTAATCAAAGCTCATCATTGAGTAGTGCAAAGCTCCCGAGAGATGTAGGCCAATTTATAGCAGAACCACCGTCAAGATGATGATCTATGCTCCCCTTCCACGCGTCACATGTCTTAACACGTATCCCCCCTTGATATTGTCTTCATGCATCGGTAATAATTGGAATTGTTTCCTGTGGGGGCAGCATTGCTTGCTTGGATTAGACCCTAATCCGCATCTTAAACCTCTGATCCTCCCACTCCAGCCGAGGATCACATGATCGGTGTGTTTGCACATGCATGTAATATGGCAATAACGTTAAAAAGAATGGGACCTTGCAAGCTTGAACAGCGCTTTTTTCCTGGGCGGGCTGCTTAAGGCCAAAATAACTGACTCAGAAGCCGGGGATGGATTTCTGCAACCGGCCACAAAACGTTTCCCTTGTTTTGTTCTTTTCCTTGCCACGGTAACAATTTCAGTATCTCGCCATTAATGCAGGTTAAAGCTGAGCACTGACTTATTTGGTACGAGGAATGAAATGGACATGGATTTCTTCGTACCCCGCAAATTAAAGATTTTCTGCCACAATTATTTCCTTGTATTCCACAAGGATTTTCCGCCGTCTGTGCCGGTTACAAGGAGTATTGTATTCCTGTCTTCATTTCTTCCAACATAAACTAACTAATAATTGTCAGAAAACATAAGCATGTTGTGGATGGAGACTTCATATGTTTTTAAGTAGTTTAAGCCAGATTTAACTATTGTCCAAGATAATAATGCAAATCCAACTTCATTAATGCATCCTTGATGAAAATTAAGTTCAACTTAATTAGTAGATTGCAATTTGCCTTGGAGAAATCCTTGATGAAAATTAATTCTTCAGGCTGTGATATTGTTGACTAAAATTATCTACTTAATAATGAAAAGCCAATGACGCCTCCTCGTCTAATCATAGAACATTAATTAAGCCTGATATCCATGAATTTGAGATCTTGGATTCAAATCTCGCAAAAAATAAGTTTATTCTAACTGCATGTGTGTATTGTTCATTTCAGTTGTAATCTTATGGAGTAAAACTTACTTAAAATAAAACAACCACCAAATTAAATAGGTCAATGGTTCAAGAGATCGATGTTAACTCTCTATTTTGCGCATTCAAGCATTATGGTTATACAACTGCCAGCAACACCAAATACTAGGTTTCATAATAAGGAACGTTATCTTTTGTTCAACATGGTTTCTTAACGAGATAAAGCCTTGTTTGAATTACTGTTTTCCGTCAAAAAATTATATTGTTTTTCGTGATCACATTTCCCTATTACCTTTTTCCCTCACATACATGAAATCGCTGCAGTAATTTTTCCATGAAAAATCATGGAAAATGTAATCCAAACACAATTGAAAATCCAATAAATGCAATCCAAAGTTGGTTTAAGCGAAGAAATCCAATAAATGGCCATAGCACTTCTGTTAATTTACTACTACGTCTTTGCTTACTTGTTTAAGGCTTTCTGAGACGCTAAAAACTCCAGTAGCCCAACCACTGTTAATTGGCACCTAAAACAGTAGTATTAAAGATACACTATTCAACACTGGAGATTAAACTTATGCATAAAGGAGTTTTAGCGTCTTATGCAGATTTTTTAACCTTCTGATTTCTGAATGTCATCACCAAAGTGTCGAATGAATAATACTTTGAGTGCCAAAAAATAACTATTATATAATTTTATGTAACGTATTATCCCAAAAAAAAAGTTCACAAATAAGTACATGGAAGAATTTGCTATGACAAATAAGACCCATTCAATTGCAATATACCTAAAAAGTAATTATATTCAATATTTTGTTAAGTTCATGGAAAATCAATTATTCTTGTGAGATGCATTGGTAATTAAGTCAACGATGTAATCCTTTTTTAATCAACAATTATTTCTATCGAATGTCAACAAGTATAATTATGCGGTCGAAAAGCGACATTTTAATTATCTTTATCGCTGGATAGAAATTAAATTGTCCTACACTTTTAACTACTAATGGTATAATTTTGAGCCTTTTAAATTAGACTTTTTTTTACCAACTAATATGTACTTGTATCATATCTATATCGGCTAATTTTGTCATTATCATTTTCAAAATTAACAAATGGTATGATAATCTAAAGATTCTATTAATTTGATTTTTTGCATTATTTACATCATACCTATTCTTAATTGCTAAGAAAAATTAACTATATCAACATTTTTAACATGTTTTACTAACCAATTCTTCCAGTTATGAATTTTCTAAAGTTGGTTTACATAATTTTCAATAAAATTTCTCATATAGCTTGAAATTCAATGTGCTTTATGATACTTATTGCAATGCTTATTTGACATACAATTTAAAAGTGCCAATATTATAATTGATATGACTCATATATAAAATAATTACGCAACTCTAGTCATTCAAAATTGCAAAGAAATTAATGTTATACTTCAAGGTTCTCCAAATCTTATATGTTAAATATGTCACACTCAATGGCGGAGTTAGGACCCAAGGTTGGGGGGGTAATTGCTACAATTAAGGCAAAATTTTTTGTTGAAAATTTTTAATAACCAATATGATCCTTGTGTGAATTTTGAAAAAATTATATAGTGTTTTACAACAACAACAACTAGATAAAAAAATTTAGAATTTTTATGGGGGTACAATTATAATACAAAATTGAAAATTAAAATTTTGTCAAGCTAACTTTAAAAATTCTTCAAAGTTGAGGGGGGAAGGGGATAATTACCCACCCTTACTTGAACGTGGCGGGTCACTCGCAAGTAGTGAAGAATTTAAGGGAGAAAAAAAAAATACACTCAAATGCGTTTTCTCTATTATTGAGAAATGACTTATGGTCAAAAGGAAAGGGAAAGCGTATGGTTATGTTGATGCCATTTTTCACCTGATTTGTACTCTTTCTAAGCGGAATAAACTTCAATGCTTCTTATTTTTACTTCTCAATACGAGAATGGTCGACCCGGCTCGGTTTAACCAAGCCGAGCCCCCCTTTTCTGCCCATAAATTTTGATAATGGTCATCTCGGTTCGGTCGTGCCAGGTTGATTCCTTCGTCTCGTAGGGGACCCCTATCGGTTCTGGTCACCTCGGCTACACTCCGTTGATGGAGAACCGAGGTGACTCCTACGTCTACTGTTGTCCCAGAGTAGCACTGTGACTGACGTGACAACAGAGGTCTAGTCAAAGGCCCTGACACTTGTAAGACAGACAATACATCTGATGAGACCTATCCCCTGCACAAAACTATCAAATCAGGTGGATATTCTCAGTCCCCATCAGATCCTAGGAACTTGAATCCCACTATCTTTCCCTCCAAATTGTCTCATATAAATATCAAATCCTCCCACTCAAAAGGGACCAACTAAATATTCCGTAAGAATCACTCCCAATAGCTCCTTCCATTTTGATTCCTATCCGAACTAACTAGACCATCGGAGGGGAACCTTTACAGCCCCTCCTCTGATAATTTGAGCAGGCGATTTCTATAAAGCCGTGCCCCACTACAGGAGAATACCCTAGCCGCTCAGCACAGCTCATTAAACCAAAATTCACCTCTTCACAATACATATAAATTTAAGAGAGATCATCAATTATTTGGCAGAAAATGGGAATCTAACTTCAAAATCAAAACTTTTAGATTTTAGTAGGGTTCATTTGTTTGGTGCTCTAAAGGCGCACCATAAGAAGTGAGTTTCATGTTGCTACCTTTTTTGCTTGAGGGTGAATTTCTTATATAGTAAATTCCAAGCATAAATAGTAAATTTATCTTTCTTTTTTAAAATTTGCTTATCATATGCCTTTGGCCACTAGGTAGGAAAAACCTTAAAAGTATACTGATTCAATTCGGAAACAATAGTTCTAGTTTAGCTTTTAATTGTCTCCTACAGACAAAAAAAAAATCACTATTTTGGAGTAAGGATTCAAATTATAGTGAAAATTACACATTAAGTGGAGCTTTCAATTAAGGCAAATAATTATAAATATGAATGCTATTGCAAATTAGTAATGGTAGTGGTTACACTCTCACTCCTGCTTTTTTACTAACTATTTGATAATGTAACTACTAAATGGGCCCAAATGTTGTACAATCAAAAGGAAAACGTACTTCTTTTATAGTAAAAAAAATATCCTAATTGTTCCTCAAAAGAAAATTTTTACACATTTAAAATCCAGCTACTTAGCAAAAATTGCTCATGAACCTGAGTTGGTAAACTGGAGCTTTTATCTTGCCACCATTGAAAAGAATTAATTTTCTATATACTAATAATATATAAACTTTCATCATTGAATGTATAATATATAATTTAAATTTAAATTTAAAATTCAAATTTTATAAATATATATTATGCATCCAACTGTAATAGTATATACAGCGTCACTCTATAAGATTTATTACTCTTCTGAAAATTCAATTTTGTCTCCAATTAGCACTTACGCAACTCAACAGGGAACCCCAAGCACGTGGGCATTATTTGGGCCGTCTCTTCCTTCTTTCGTTAGCCGTGGCCCACTTCACGTGGACCCAAGGTAGTTTGGACATTGGATCACTGCAACCTGAGAGAAACAAAACGCATCCGGCGCATTTTAGCAGCTTCTACTTTATATCCGATATCGATTTCCTTCCATGGTCAGATGCGCACTCTTGGTACTTTCTCTCATCTTTCTTGCATCTCCATCTATCCCCCTCCAAACCCTTAAATTCCTCATCAAAAACAAGAAAATTTAGGCAACCCCATGTGAAATTTGCATCGCTGGCTGCTGCCTAAAAGCCTCAGGATCACAAAAGTTTTCTTGAGAAAAAAAATAAAATTTTTTTTGGTAGAATTTTTCATCAAGGCTTTCAGTCATGTAGTGTCTGTTGGTCTTCGGTGCTTGGTTCTGCCGAAAGTTTGAAACTTTAAGGTATTTCTGGCTTAACTTTGTCTTATTTGAGATAAGGCTCTCATGTTTCCTGTTTTTTTTTTCCTTTTTTTATTGTAATTTATTCTGGTTGGAAAAAAGACAAATTTAATTTATTGTTTGTTTTCAGAGCAGATTTTGAGATTTTATGATATTTTTCTCTTGAATTTCATTGTGGATTTTTTTCCCTTTTAATTGCAATATGATCTTTGTTGGGCTAAATTTAGAAATTTGAACTTTTAATTAGTTGGGAGGGATGATTGTTGGATTTGAGGGTAAAAATTTCCATTTTTTCCCACAATAAGTAGTAGTAGAATTAAATGTTGGTAATCGTTGGTGGTACGTTCTAGGACATTTAGTTGCAGATCATTTCTGCTATTGTGATATCAATGATATATAATAGGAAACTTGAACTTTTGCCTTTTCATTTTAGGAGTATAATCTTGTCAAGTTAAGGTGGGAATCAGGATTGCTTGGTAAAGTCTTTATTGGTTCCTTGATCCCGTGTGTGCTAAAATGGATGACACTGAGGATGATGCTAGATACCCACCAAATACTTATGGTATGAGTCAGGGTTATGGCTCGTCTAATCGCCAAAAGCTTCCTGTTCGAAATGCTGGTCAGAATGTGATTAATCGATATGTTGAGGATGACGATGTTGATGATGAAGAGGAAGAGGTTGAGGATGAAGAAGAAGATGATGACAATGAAGAAAATGGGGTTCAACGAGTAGAGAGAGATGAATTTGATGATGACAATGAGGATGATGACGATGATGATTATGGTGATATGCAGAGGCACCCCAAGAAGAGGAAGCTTAAGAGCTTGTTGTCGAGTTATGAGTTTGCACCTCGAGTCCCAGCAACATCAGCAGCACCTGTTCCTGTGCCGAAGCCATCATTTGGAGGCCGAAACGCAGTTGCTGATTGGAGTGAGCATGAAACATTCATTTTACTGGATGCTTGGGGTGACAAGTTTCTCCAGCATGGGAGGAAGAGTCTTCGGTCCGAGGAGTGGCAAGAAGTTGCAGAGAAGGTTTCCCAGCAGTCGAAAATTGATAGGACAGACACTCAATGCCGAAACCGTTTGGATACACTGAAGAAGAAGTACAAAAAGGAGAAGGCAAAATTGGGAGAGACTGTGAATTTTGTGAGTAAATGGGTCTATTTTCAGAAAATGGATATGTTGCTGTCATCGCCTCCTCAGCAAGCTGGCCTTTCATGTGGAGTGGACTCGGGGGAGTATGTTTTCATGAACCCTGGGGAGTATCTCAACCGTTCAAATGGACTGGACGAGATGAGGGATAGCCCAGGAATTTCTGAGTCAGCAGAGGCTGAGGAGGATGATTCTGAGGGCCTGCCACCCAAGAGAACGAAGACTGTGAGGGACAGAGGGAATGGAGCTTCCTTTAAGTTACTTGCAGATTCCATTGAGAAATTTAGTGAGATATATGAAAAGATTGAAAACAGTAAGAGGCAGCAGATACTGGAACTCGAGAAGATGAGAATGGACTTCCATAGAGAATTGGAATTACAAAAGAGGCAGATCCTGGAGAGAGCTCAGGCAGAGATTGCTAAAATTCGACAAGGTGATGATGAAGACAATGATGTGTCTGCTGAGAATATCAGTAGGTGAACTATGTAGCTGAGATGTTCTTGAGATACATCGCTTCATGATTGCCTGATTGCCTGGCTTTGTTGTACAATTTCAACGGCACCATGCCCGCTTGTTCATTTCTTTGCTAGGCAATAAATTGGTTGGTCGATTACTGTATTTTAGATGTTAAAGAGGTTGGTAGAAATAAAATTCAAAGATCATCTTCAATTCTGTGTTCATCCTCCCACTGTTATGGTACTTATTCTGCTTCTAGCTGATTTCATTAGTTGTGTGTCAAATGTTTCTTGTTCAAGATAGACGGGAGCAGTAACATGACCAGGGTTCAGGGTTTTGGTTGAACCACCCTTATGGGGACTGTTCCGGTTGTGGCCACAACTGGGCTCGCGGTAGAGTTGCCCTTATGGTTATAAAATCATCAATATTAGAAAAATTAGACACTGAAATTAGAATAAGGTTCTAAGAAAGGCAATGAATGTAGACGAAACATATCAAAGTCTCGCATTATTGATTTTTATTACATTTTTTTTAGAAAAAAAAAAAACATACATAATTTTCTTGAACATAAATTTTTGAACCTGATGTCCTTTATACTTGATAATGAATTCAACAAAATCATAAAAGGAAAACCTGGTTAATGTGTAATGCTTGTCATGGTTCGAATAGGAACAGAACTGGTGACATTTGTTCCGGTTTCATATTTTCAAGAACTTAAACAAAAGTGTTGTCACGGAATAGCCTGACAAAAATATAGCATCTAGGCAGGGCTTGACAGGGAGATCGTCAGCCATATTGCCAACTAATATGATGGATGGAGTATCTGGCAAACAGAATGTCGGTAAACAGCAGCAAGAAGATGTCATTTAAAAACGTTACCACCAAAGCATCCAGGATCCAAAGTACAGATTATGGACAAATATTTCATCAGCATTAATTTCTATAAAAAAACAAATCACAAGAGCTTAGCAGACAAAGATTATGGACAAAGGATCATCCAAGTATGTCGTCCAAGATCCTAGCAACAGATTCCATAGTCCAGCCACCAGCAGATAAAGAGAAAGCCGGGATAATCACTTGCAGACTCATCTGCAACTCTAAACCATTGACGAGTTGCCAGTTGGCACAAGCAGTGTAAACAAAAATTTCACCTTCAGGCTTCATGCCAGTTGCTGCCTGAGCACGTCTAGCAGACACTTGGGTAAGAAATTTGAGAAGCAATTAATTGTATCTGTACAGTAACATGTCCAAGCAAGGCTGATTGACCATACCATAAAAAAAGTTGGCATTTCTCATCCATGGAAGCCCTTAACAGTATCGTAATTCCCATAGATCACTTTATTATATGTCGAACTTACCTCCCAAGCATGCATGGTCTTGCCATGTAAGATCTTACGAGGAGGTGCAACACACTGCAGAGATTGACTCCATGCACTGGCACCTGATAGAGTTCTGCAAGCCGAATTTTCAAATGAAAACAGAAAATGCCACATCACGTCCTCTAAAAACGGGGCAATAGCAATTCCATATCTCATGATTAACATAAAATGGTGAACATAAAGTAAGTACCTGCAACTAGCCATATAACATTTATTGCACATGAAAAGTTCCACAAAATTCTGTAACACGACTTTTCGCATCACTTAGTAAGCAAAAGCATATATTTCCTAAAAGCATGATTGATGAGTGAGAAATACACCACTCAATTACCTAAAGAGAAGTATATACCAGATCATTCTAAAAAGTGGAATGAACGCGATCTTCATCGATCTTTCCGACTGCTTCAAGTATTGAAGAGTATGTTATATGATCATATTCAAAGCCTTTCACTTGCATCTCCTTCATCAACCTAGCAGCCTCCTCAAACATACCAGCACGGCTTAGAGAACCAAGAATGGTATTGTAGGAGACTGCATCCGGCTTTATCTTTGAACTTTTCATCCTTGTGAACATCTCGATTGCTCTTTCTGGGCCACCAGTCTTTGCCAAGCCATTCAGGATTATATTGTAGGAATTTATGTCTGGATTGCAACCATTTTCCTCCATTGTTTGAAGCAAGGAAAGAGTTTCATCTAGCATGCCAGCCTTTACCATCCCTGACATGAGGGCATTATAAGAATACACATCAGGACTGCACCCAACTTTATTCATCTCATTGAAAAGATCCATTGCCTCAGCCAAATGTCCACATTTGCCAAAGTGCTTGATCATCACAGCATATACTCTCGAACTCAAGGATCCAGAATTCTCCTTTAGTTCTTGGAACAACTCATTCGCAGCTTCATACCGTTTTGCTTTTCCAAGACTGTTGATCAGGCTGCAGTAGGCGGCTGGACATGGAGGAAAACCTTTCTCATCCATCTCCTCTAGCAGCAACAGAGCTTTCTCCACTCTATTTGTCTTGCAAAATCCATCAATGAGAATTGAATAAGTAAAGGAGCTAGGAGCCACTCCACTCGCCTTCATTTGCTCGAACCATGATGAAATTTCAGATACCGGGGCTTTAGATTGAAACAATGATTTAAGAATAGTATTATATGTCACCACATTTGGTGTACACTTCAAAGATCCCATTTTTTCAAATACGCTCAAAGCATCAGCCAAGCGTCCTACCTTGCCAAGCAAATTTATGACATTGTTTATGAGCACAACGTCTAGTTCACAGCTTTCCTTTAACACATTAAGAAATACAGAGTAAGCTTCTTCAACCCTACCAGCTCTACCAAGCCCCTTTATTAACTCAGTGTATGTATAAACAGTTGGCGCACAACCAGTCTCCTTCATCTCCTGGACTAATCTTAAGGCCTTTTCAACTTTTCCCAATTTGAAATAAGTCCCCAGTACAGTCGTATATATCTTTGAATTGGGATGTAAACCATTCTCCCTCATTTCATCAAACAACCTAATAGCAGAATCATCACGACCTAATTTACTAAATGCTGATATCAGCGCGCTGTATGTTACAGTATCAGGCAAACAGTTGCCTTCATCACACATCTCACTGTAAAGTTCATAAACTTTCTCATGGTGCCCTTGTTGCATAAGCATCATGATCATAGAATTATAAGTGCTTGCAGTAGGATTGCACTTGCGAGCTTTAACCTGGTAAAAGACAGTAAGGGCTTTGTTGACCATCTTAGCTCTGCCCAAAGTTCTCACTATTTCAGACAGATCAACAGGGCTGATTACACAAGGACCTCGAACCATTTCTTGTATGGTCTTCCACATTTCGCCAACCCTGCCAGCTTCCTCAAGACAATGAATGAGAGCAAGGTAAGTGGTGGAGTCATGCTCAAAATTCCTTCTCTTGCCAACCCACTTGAAAAACTGCATCTTAACATTGATCTCCACGTCAATGTTCAGTACCTCACGAACTAATCGATGATCCACTCTAAGCTGTAGCACCTCAAGAGCCTTTTCTGCATCAGAACCCCATTTGAATATTTTCAAAATCCTTATAAACCTTTCATCCAATGTCCTCTTAGACCTGCTCTTTCTAATGGCTGGTCGGCTCACGGCAAAATTTGGCGCTTCATCTTTAGGAGTTGCAAGCTGAAACATCCTTACAATATCATATTCTGCGAGAACACCAAGTAGCATTACGTGTCACGACTTTGTAAAATTGGATTGAATAGAAACCAGAAATCAAACAATTAGACAACCCACGTCAAAAATATGGGACAGAAGCAGAATCAAGATATTTAAGCATATAAAAACCAGGATACTGAAAATGCACTCCACCTGTTTGCTTAAATCTCTGTCTGAGAGAAGGGTATGTAGATATAGCCCGTCTTGAGCAAAAGGGTGAGGCTGCTGCCATTTTCGCTGAACCCCTAAGAGCCAAGGCAATTACTGTTACGTTACTGTACTACTGTCAATCCATTTGCTCCCCAGTTCCTGTGCCATACTGCCATGGACTTTGGTGGAGTATCAAAGCTGGGTTGAAACGGCAAGTTCCCACATCATAATTACAGTAAAATGAAAGTATACTATGACTTGCCAACGCAAAATTGCTAGTGCCTAGTACTACATATGATTTCGGTCTCAAGAGCCAAGACTATCGAAGCTAAGAAGCCCACTCTACAACCGTCATCCAGGAAACGGGGAAGGAGGAGTTTGTTCCTCGCACCAGGGAAAAGACAGCAACACATTTCTCTTGGGTGAAGTCGTGAAGAGATACCCTCACATAAAAAGATTTTTAGTAAGCGTCAACATATTCACCGTCATACAAAGAATTTGGATTGGTTTTGGGGTATGGATCCTGAACTGGAAATGGTCACCTACATCCAATACTTAAATAGTTCAAATGCAATTCATATCTTATTCACAGCCAAGAAGAAGACTTCGGCCAGTGCATTCAGTCCAATGCACGAGAATCGGTTCTTCAAGCAGTATCCTTGCAATATTCATAAAATAGATATTGGCATTTTCGTATAATTAACTCAAACGTTCATTCCGTCCCTTTTCTTTTGTAGCCGCTAGACAGGCTCGTTAAAAGTACTTCCTTTATTTTAGAACCTTAAATTAATTTTCGGGTAAGTTTTTAGAACCTTAAAAATTAACAAGTACTTGTAACAGCATTGAATTACAGGCACAGCACATAGTTCTGTAGCTCCGAGTTGCAGCTCCAGTTAAAGGCATTCGACTGCTGCCCCCTAAAACCCAGCATCGGAGCATACGAAACTCAAATTCTGAGCAACGTCGGGGAAAAGTTAGAGACGCTGTGCTTCCTGCACACGAGCAAAGACGATACTGCAAATCTCTGCTTCGACAGCAATACGTTTAAAAGAAAAACCGATTTTCGGTGCGGCAGCATCCGCGAACAAGTTTGATGCTCCCGTATGTGATCTTTTCAAGAGCACAAGAGAATTCGGTCAAAATTGCCATAGATGGCACCTCGCAAGCTCACGGAAACAATCTTCAATGCCCAATAACAACAAAACAACATGCACTTCTCGAGAAAAAGGGTTCCCCAAGTCACTTTTGTAAATCGTAATAATTGTGAAACAAACCGAAAATTTTTTGAGCTTCTCTTACAAACCCTGCCCAATAAAGGGATTACAGAGACTGGAGGCACCCCCTAATAATGATAATATGTGGTGTCATACCGTCCGTCTCAAGGATGGCACAACATAATTCGAATCACCTCACCCGTAAAACTAATTAAACACTTGATCGTAACCACAAAAGACCCGTCAAAAAGCTCAGCATGTATACGTCAAAAGGTACAAAAGGGACCAAGCTTTAGCCAGCACAAAATATTTAAAGACCAGTGTCCCCAAGATTATGCAGCCCCAGGTGCTGTATCAGACTTGTCTGTTTCCATTGGCTCCGTAGATTCTGGTGGTACTTCATTACCAGCTCCAGCACCATCATTGGCATGGCTATTTTGGCCGGAGTGTGGATTGGGACTCTCACCACCCTGAGGTTGCGCCTGAGTTCCTTGGGATGGTGGTGGTGTTGTTGCAGTTTCAGGAGCTGGCTTGGCTGGCTTTGGTTTTGTCATTATAGGCCTGCAAGACCTGCAAATTCCTCAACATATGTCAGCACAAGATAACGAAGTACACACAAAACAAGGCAGAAGTGCATGTCGAGAAGTAAATCACAGGATGCACTTCTCAGTATCTAGAGCACTGCCAAGTGATAAAATAATCAGTAACCCATGCTCCACAGGATCAAATTCACAAATAAAGAGAATATCTTAAAAACACAAATCCTGGAAATCAATATGCAGTGAGAATTGCATGTGATACCCAGGAAAAGAAAGGACAAGGAAAAGACTACTCCAAAGGATCAGTGTCTGATGGCTAATACTGATGAACGACAACAGTGCACCAGAAAACAAGCGCTTGTTCTCTAAAATTGATACCTGTCTAGTGCTTCAGCTTTCCTTCTGATATCAGCTGACAGGAGAACAGGATTAGCATACTTGGGAAGCGCATCCTGCTGTTGCTTTTTCTCTCTCAACCAAGCCTCTGCTTCCACACATTCATTTAAGACCTAAAAGCACACAAGCAAGAATGAACTTAGAAAATAAAAACCCAACAATTGTGAGGGAGACACCGATTTACATGATGATAAATACCCACCTTCTGCTTTTCTGGAATATCGATGTGATCAAACTTAGGATCATTTGACATTGCTGCTTCTCTATAACTACCGATGCAATAAATAAGTTGATCAATCACAGAGCCTCTCTCCATAAATTCCTTGTAACGCTCCTCAATTGGGTCACCTTGCTGCAAGGTAAAACATGTCATCGGACTAACATCAACTACAATGCCAAGAAAGACATAACAAGTGATCGGATAAAGCTTTGCCAACCTTCTTGAGTTCCTCAAGCTTTGCTATATAAACACCTTTTGTTTCATCTTCCCCATCTTCATACAACCAATCTTCTGTCTCCTGAAGTTTAGCAGCAAACTGCCCTCTCTCCGGGTCCATGACAAACTCGTGATATCTGTCGTTGAGCTAGAGAAACAAACAAAATTATGAGTTCAAAACCTCTTATGTAACAAAACCAACTCATACAACTGTTACACTACCTTGTTCCTCATGTCATAAACATAGGCCTCAACAGCATTCTTCTTGTCCTTTGTTTCTTCCATAACACGATCTTGCAAAGCCATTTCAAACTCCTTTTCCACGGCTTTCTGCACATCTGCAGCCGCCAGTCCTCCATACACCAGTTCTGAGACAGGTATATTGGTCTTCTTCACCTTTTTCTTAGGAGCTTCAGCCTGCAGGATGTAATTAACAGCAACTGATGTCAGATAAAAATTTCAGTGTGGAAGATATAGGAAAGAACAGCTAGAAATCTTAAATGTCATTTGAGAACAAATCACTATCTGCTTACACGTGGGGCAAAAAAAAACTTACCTTTGAATCTGTCTCCATTTGGACAGGTTTATCCCCGGAGTCTGGAACGCCATTTTCAGCTCCAGGAGCTTCAGCCGCACCTTTAGTATCTTGCATATTTACATCAGTTTCGGTGGAACTAGGTGGAGCAGCATCAGATGGAACCTCATCTGTTTCCATCTTAGCTGTTTCTTTTGCAGGCTCTTTAGTAACAGGAACTTCCACTTCCTCCTCTTCTAAAAGCTGGAAAAAAAATTCAGAGGCAAAAATATTTATTTTTACCATTATCCCTGCAACAAGCCGAAGTAGAAGATAAATAAGGACAAAAAAGCTTGCTCTGAGAGCTTACAGTTGCTGACTCAACAGAAACAATTCCATGCAAATTCAAGCGTACTTTGACCTTCAATTTTGCTCGCTCTCCCTTTGTTGCTTGGAATGGTCCAATCTGTGAGGTAAACACCATACAATGTACAGAATTCAATTCCTACTCATGCTCCTTAAAAAAATTGAACAGTGTGTATCACAAATCAATTACCGTGTAAGTGCTAATCTTTGCTGGTGCCTGCAACTCACTAACATCAGCATAATGAACATCTACTGTGAAAGTGCCAGATCTATAGAACGTCAAAGCCTTCACACTAGGTATTGGATTCCCCTTGGGGAAAACAATGGTGCTTTGTTGATTATCTGCAGCTCCGTTCTGGGCATCTGGGGCAGAACCTTTCCAAGACAAGGCAATTGCGAAAGGAAAGCTCTCGTTCACCTATAAGCCACAAGGATAAAGCTGTCACAGTCTTAATATTGCAACTCTTTACCAACATAAAATCTACACATTACAAGTCATGACAAGTTATTAGATGTTACAGCTCAGGGGTTTCATTAAGTCTTGACCAAAGATACTCTATGTCCAATTATATCGAAGAACATGTACCTCGAGAAAAAAAGTTGGGAGAAAGGGATAAATTAATTTAACTATTCCACCAAGCAAACTATAAAAGGTCTGTCACGTTGAAACAATAAAAGGCCGGCAAAATCAACTAAAGATGTAACGGCTATACCTGGAATTCTCGCACTTTAAATGTTGGACTAAGTATGGCACATTGCAGGGCTGCGCCTTTGGCAACACACTCACTCGCATTCATTGTACGCCTAGGCTCCTTTCCAAAGAAATCTGTCAAGATCTTAATCATTGCAGGGACTCGAGAGCCTGAACCAACTACCTCGACCGCATGAATGCTCTCAACTCCTAGCCCAGCTTCTGCAAGAGCCATCTCCAATGGCTTCTTCACACGTTCCAAAATTGGAATACTTATTTGTTCAAACTCCTCTCTCTTGATGAAACCCCTGACATCCTTCTCGTCCATCAGGCACTCAATATTCAAAGGTGCCTCTGGATTTGCACTTAGCATCTTTTTCAACTTCTCACAAGCAGCACGAAGCCGAAGGCATGCCCTAGCATTCTGGAAGACATCAATCTTGTACTCATCCTTGAATTTTGCAGCAAAATGCTGGAAGAGGACTTCATCAAAGTCCCGGCCACCAAGACATCTGTCAAATGAGTGGGCCAATATCTTTAACTGGCCTTTTTTGAAGCCAGCAATGCACACCTGCATACTTGCATGCCCAATGTCAACAAAAGCAACATTCAACTGGTCGTTCTCAGGTAAGTCCGTCTTGTAAATACCATAAGCCAAAGCAGTAGCAGTAGTCTCATGGATAAGGCGAAGTGGATGCAAACCAGCAATAGTAGCAGCATCCACCACAGCTCTTCTCTGGAGGTCAGTAAAATAGACAGGTATCCCAATACAGCAATCAACAACTGCCGCATTCAAGTTCTTCTGAGCTATGCTTTTCAGATCAGAAAAGACCATTCCCAATACTTGAGTGGGTGTAAATGTCCTCAATTCGCCCAAATACCTTGCATGGATGAGAGGAAATCCATCAGGACCTTCAGTTACAGTAAAGGGCAAAGCCTTAAGATCACGTTGCAGTTCAGGATCAGAAAATGGGCGTCCAATCAACCGTTTCATTTGGGAAATTGTGTTCTTGGGATTCATCATACTCGACGCAGCCCCTGCTGTCCCAAGGAAGCGCTGCTTATCTCCAAAGCACACAACAGCAGGGGTTTCGCGCTTCGATTCATCATTCAAAACAACATCAATCCCTCTTTGTCTTGCAACTGCAACAACACCACTCTCGTTGCCAAAATCAAACCCAACCACGCTCATCCTTGATGGTAGTATAAGTTCGCCACAAGCAAAAACTCAGCTTCAAACAAAGGTAGATTGAACCCTGAAGAAATAAAAACACAATATTAAGATCTAATCCCTTCTCTGCATCTAAAAATATCTTAATCATCACAACATGTAAACAATGTCGAGACTAAAAACCATATAACGAACAGAGAGACTGCACAGGCAGTTAACATTATGATCAGAATTTAAAAACAGTATCCACAGTACTTGGCGATCCCAAAAGACTCCAGTCTTTTCTTCTCCAATATTTTGACGATCGATCTTCTCATTTTGTGTTACAAGAACAAGTAAATTCAAACCAATAGTATGCACCACTA